GGCCATCAAGGATTTCACTTCGCAGTTTATATCCCTAATGAGAGATCTGTGTAGAAATTTGTGTGGATGGGTGCAAGTATGCAGAATATCCGTGGTTAGAGCCCGAATTCACTCATCGGAAGTGGGTGGTCCAAATTCAACCTCTCCATCTCGACTGCTTTTGACTACGCTGGGGGAAACCTGGTAGTAACTTAGCTCTCGTGCTTCCTTCGGGTGACATGGCAGCTAGACAGAGGATGTTACGGTTAAACGAGTATACGGCAAGCTTTCGCCTGAGTTCACAACGTCCAGTAGTGTACGACAAGGCTGCCCTCTCGCCTTTCATCTTCAACGTTGCGCTATTGATATGGTGCTTGAAATTTCCCCGCCTGCGTCTGAAACCTCGAAGGTCGGCATGCTCCCGAGGTGTTCGGTCACAGATACTGAGTACGCGAACGACACTGGCCTTCTGATTCCGATTCTTGAAAAAAGCAAATCACTATAAATAACTTAAATAATTATGACACACGGCTTGGCATAATCGACAGCATAACGTCGGCGTTCAAAGGGTGATGCTTCGCTGCCGTACTAAGTGTGCACTTCATGGTTGTAGTGGGCTGGGATATTGTCAGGTCGCCCGCATCAAGACAGGGTACTCAACCAAAGCCTTTGGCTCGAAAGCCTGAAAGAAAGGCAGCGGTATGTGGTGGGAAATGCAGGCGCACTACCATTTTTGAACAAGTCGCCACACACGTTCTAAGCCACAAATTGGAGGGCCAGAAAACTGTGTTGGTCAGACTTAAAACCATTGACCAACCTGGTATTAGGCCATGCGAGTATCGCACGGACACCCTCCAGCATGGAGCAACGGGTCGCGGTGCACCAACCGTCCCACCATGGTTAGGTCGTCTCTTCGTGATGGAACCCAAACTTCATGCTTGCAGACGTGCCGATCGACGTGGAAGATAAATTGTCTGGGTGGCTGTATGAGTTTCGCTGGACCGGCTAGAGATGAGATTACTGATCGATTCGGTAAGGCCAGGGCAGCTTTTGCCAACCCCCGGCACCTATGCCGCCGACGTGATAACAGTTTCTGTTATGTTCAGAGATTACACTGAGACAGTGCTTAATGGATCTACGTGTAGGGGATATAGAAAGCCGTATTTGACCATCGGCATCTCCAAAGTATTGGTCCGGACTGGTTGGAGCATCGGATTAGCAACGCTGAGGTACGCTAAATGGTTTTGGGAAGGAGGAACTCTCGTGTGATAGATAATTTACTCAGGCACCATAGGTTACGCTCGTTGACATGTACGGAGGACCCCAGAGGACTATCTGTCCCACATAGCTGTCTTCGTCCAGCCCTCTGCTGAGTGGTAGCGACCAAGCGGTGAATGGTAGGTGACTTGTCATGAAAATACTAACCGGCAAACCCAGTTGGATGGATAACTATCACCCCTTTATATGGGGATCCCGACTTAACTCCTTAGCGGTTAATGACGTGGCTCGTGCATCAAAGCTGCTGTCTTCGGTGCGTAGCTGCCCAGTTTCCTGTTCCTTCAGAACAACAATATACATATGTCACTTCGAATGCGCTGCAGTACCTCCAATATCCACTTTCCGGCGACCGAAACTGCAGAAGCTAGAACCCTTCGCACATCGTTTAGTAGCAACCTTTCGGTGCCTAACCGCCATGCCACCTGGAGGTTGCACGAGGGTTGGGATGCCAGGTTGCCGAAGACTAGACAGGGAAAGTCGAGAGGTGGAGGTCGGGTTTGAACCACGGGCCTTCCGGTCAGTGAATCGGTACATGGTGGATAGCTGATAAACTGAACTGGAATATTGCAAATAACGTTGCCAGGTATCGCTCCTTGTGTGCACAGTTGAGTGCGAGAGAAAGTGATCGAGGTTGAAGCACCTTTTTGTGCTCTCGACTATTCCAACTACTGATGTTTATTCTTGCCACAACAAACGGTTGACTGATTCCGATTCGTCCAACTTGGTGCTTTTATCTACGGCTAGTTGGTACCAAATCACTAGGACCTCTTCACTCTCAGAATACCTATGGATTTTCTGGCGAAATTGTACGGGCTTCCAGTTTGGTTGGTTTCCGGCTCAGGGCTTATGCAACATGGTTCAAGAACCCGTTCACCTCATATGGTGAATGCATACCATTCAACACGTCTTATGGGGAGATTTTCGTAGGATCACGGAAGCGGTTGAACTGTGCTGTGGGACATTTACCGCATATCCTGCTCCAAATAGTTTAGCACGGACCTAAGATAACGCCCAACTTCAACTTTACTCATATTCCGTTACCGACAGAACAATGCCGCCGACTATTGGTCGGTGCAGTTTGTCGGTTAGGTTTATCAAGATTGTGGCCTGATCCTAATCCGCTTTCAGAATGGTGATTCTCTACTTTGAGACATTTACCACCCTCTGCTTTGACAAAGATTTTCCATTTCCGCTTGAAGTTTTTGAAACGAAGGTCCATCGTCAGGATTTAAGTCCTCTTTCTCTATGGCTTGCTCACTACGAAATTCAACTCCTCTTCCAGCGGGTTAGTGACCCACCTGATGAATCTACCAAGATGTGGTAACCGGCACGCTGCCCATTTTTCTGCGGTCTTACATCCAACTGCCGAAACAGGATATACTTCACCCCCGTCGCTTTGGCCTTGGCCATTTTTAAATTCACGGTCGAAGTTCGTGCTTGAGGCAAAATGCCCCGCTGGGAACATCATTCGAAGAATAATTTGGTGGCTTTGGTCAATACAAGTCATGAAGAGAGTTGGGGCTAATTGAGTTCAAGACCCAGTGTGCTTTAAGGAGGGTAAATCCGTGCACCTTTGGATGAATGGAGCCCAGTAGTATGCGAGAAATAGTTGTAATACCAGAGTAGACTAAATATGGAGACCTACGAAATGCTATTCCATGCCTACAATACTGTTTCACATCCACAGGAGTTGTGGAGCTATTAGGATGGGGCCAGGTACAATCTTGGCGGAATTGCACAACACGAGTGTACATACTAAGTAGGATCGGCGTTTTGTTTCGTCTCACTCATTATTTCACCTGCGAAACGCAACGCATTGGAGGTGAGTTTGTTCCGGTGTTTTGCCGAGTATCAATCCAAAGGTTTCAAGCTGAGAATGATATCAACGACCGCATTAGCAATGAAATATCACCAAGCTAGCAATTACCACCCCCCAATATGTTGACTGACGAAACCAGATAACACCTCTATGGCGCTGAAACTCGGGAAAATAACCTGTACCAGTGTCTACCCCACAGGTCACGCCATGAAATCCGTATGCCAGTGGACAGCTCTCCTCAAAACCAGCAATTCGATAAACCGTTCTCGGGATGGACACGACCCAGAGGTGGACAATGAAGTACGAAAGCCCCAACTGGTAAATCCACTTGCGTTGGTAATCGTCTGTCCGAGCGGGAACCCTGAGACGGGACAAACCCGGGGTTATTGACCCGAGTGATAATGCATCGCGCAGCCAACAGACAAACGGAATCGAAGACATCGACTCTTCAACAGCCCTTCTTCAGGCTTGTCGAAGTTTCCAGCAGCCTTATGAGTGGCGTGTTACTTCCAAAAAGTGCCATAGCTCAATACTGTGCCAAATGAAAGTGAGGGGGACTGGTACAACTCATTCAACTGAAGACCACCATAAACGGAAGATTCGGTGGTCTCACGTCAAAGCTGAATTCTGGCGCAAACAAAAGTATTCGGAGAGAACCACTGAACATTTAACACCAGTAAGAATATTGGGAAAAGACCTCCAGGGCGCGACTAACGTTCCCCCTGCTTCACCTCGGCAAACGAGGCTGTAGTAGCCGGAACCACTGTGCTTCGGCTCAAGGTTTGTAGCTGGAAAAGGGAACTATCCCAGGAATTCTGAACCACTCATCGCAGACGTGCAAAATACGTCATCCTAAGCCACTGCACTTGCGAAGCCGTCTGACAAGTGGTCAAAACCTCCAACTAGACAAAATTCTACTCCATCTATTCTACTGTGCACCAGGTCGGTGAGCCAAGAGGTACGAATCGTCTCTGGCAGGAAAACGAGTAAGCTTGTGTGACGCATTTTGGTGCCTATGTCAACTTGAAAGCTGTCTTCATGCGCCCGTTGAACGTGCTTTGACCTATCCGACAATAACGCGGATTTCTGGTGCTCTTGTTAAACTGGACGGAGTGGCGGCAGGTCCGAAATCGATCGTACCAAGGGGGGGGGACGTCCTACGCTGGTGAGGTGCTTTGCGACCAGTAACCGCGGACTCACAGGCGCCTTCCACCGTCCAGCTACAACAACCCTTCGGTGCCTAGCTGCCACGCAACCCAAGAGGAACACGAGAGCTGGGATACCGCCAGGTTGCTCAAGCCTAGATAAAGGAAGTCGGGAGGCAGAGGTTGGGTTCGAACGGCAGAGCTTCCGATCGGTACATTCGCGCTCTAAACAGTGAGCCATCTCGTCAGCGAACTAAATCCTAATCGCAAGTTTCCGTCTTGCGAATGAAAGTCGGACGCAGCTATCTAACTTACCGTTCGTCACAGCTTTCACAACCAGAGCGGAACGATAGCCAGTTGTTAGGAAAACGACCTAGCCAACTACGGCAGAGCTTCCGATCGGTACATTCGCGCTCTAAACAGTGAGCCATCTCGTCAGCGAACTAAATCCTAATCGCAAGTTTCCGTCTTGCGAATGAAAGTCGGACGCAGCTATCTAACTTACCGTTCGTCACAGCTTTCACAACCAGAGCGGAACGATAGCCAGTTGTTAGGAAAACGACCTAGCCAACTACGCGGCAACGGAGAAATCGGCTCGCTGACAAATAATGAATAACTTTATTGGGCCCGTAGTCTCCTTAAAATAAAGGCACTTCATCAGTAATTAAAGGCTGTATGTTGAAAAACGTCAACGAGATAACATGATTAAATAGGGTACGTTCACAGACTATGTCAAATCCGATGGACTGAATATCCATCAGATCTATGACTAGAGGTCCTCAGGCATGATCGACGGAGTACATATGTGAAATCAGATCCACTACACGGCAGCTGTATCCATATTCGTTGTCGTACCTGGAAAGTGAGATGAGCAGAGAAGAAAATAAACATACCACGCAACGAGCTTCACGAACGTGTCACTCAACTGGATACCCGCCTTCGCGTCAAAAATGGACGAAGCAGAGGAGCCACGGAAGTCCATGCTTACGACCTCATCCTCAGTGTAATCAAGGATACCCTTCATTGGACCCTCAGAAGCGTGTTTGATGGTTTCCATGATTTCGGTGTATTTCGCAGGCTTGGACAATCTACAGGTAAGGTCAACCACTGAAACGTCGGGTGTCGGTACTCTAAATGCCATGCCCGTGAGTTTGCCATTAAGATCAGGGATAACTTTGCCAACCGCTTTGGCAGCACCAGTGGACGAGGGGATAATGTTTTGATGGGCTCCACGCCCACCCCTCCAGTCCTTGTTAGAAGGACCATCGACAGTTTTTTGCGTAGCTGTGTAGGCATGGACAGTAGTCATTAAACCCTCGAGAATTCCGTACTTCTCATGAACTACTTTAGCAAGCGGTGCCAGGCAGTTCGTGGTACAGGAGGCGTTTGAGACCACATCCAAACCCTTGTGGTAGGTTTGATGATTCACACCAACGACAAACATCGGCGCATCCGCCGAAGGCGCGGAAATTATTACTTTCTTTGCCCCACCTTGAAGATGGGCCTAAAAATCAGGTTGGGGTAGAGACCACACTTACCTTGGCCTTGTCGATTGTTGTGAAGACGCCGGTGGACTCGACGATGTATTCAGCCTGATGGCTTCCCCAGGGTATAGCTGCAGGGTCACGTTCATTATGTACAGCGATTGTCATGCCCTTCACCATAAGATTGCCACCAACCACACAGACGTCACTTGGGAAAACGCCATGGGTTGAATCATACTTAAACATATATTTCATGTAGTTCAGATCAATAAATGGGTCATTGACAGCCACAACTTCCACTGTCCCTTTGTCTATTGCAGCCCGCAAAACGAGCCGACCGATACGACCAAAACCATTGATTCCAACCTTAGGTTTCGGCATCTAGAAAGCAAGTCGGAGGACGTGACGACCGGACCGATTGATCAGATCCTACGAATAGATGGCAGCATTTATATCGATGATGCGAATAAACACTTCGAGATCGGGCAAGGATAGCGAGTGGCAATTAAAAGGTCAGCTAGACAGATGAAAGACAAATCTCTGATTACGAAATCTTTTCTTCTAGAAGCTAGATCCTCCCAACCTAAGTTTGGCGCACAGTTTGAAATTTTCAGGGCAGGATCAGAAAAATTTGACGGAGGAGTGAGACCCGCTTGAAATAAAGCCAATTCATTAATTCTGATGCCAACCTTCGACGGGTTTTGTGTTTTCAGGGTCAAATATTTTGCTCTTTGTAGGCCAACGATCCATAAATGATTTCTTTTGGCGCTCTAGTGTTTCTTGACGTTTCGGCTGATGCAGACTTCTCGGCTGTTTCCGCAAAGTAAGACTTACCCCGACTAACTTCTCTTAAGGAGATTGGATGAACTGCCATACCAACAGTTCGAAGAAATTTTTGAGACACCTTACACCCATATGAGTGATTGGTCTGAGCGCATCGTTTACGTTGTCTACCCACCAAATTCCTGTCGCATGACATGATTTGAATGTTTTGTGCCTGTTGCCGGTAAATACATGAAAGGAAGGCGTTAAGTCAGTCATCTTTATTTTACTTAACTACCAGTTTAGCATCTGTGGCGCAAATATGAGGTGCGCTTTACGTTGCATCATGGAAATGTGAGCTGTTAACCCCGTACGACCACTAACAGCCCAGCAGCAAGTGCACCAAACTTTCGTGCAACTAGTCGCCGATGGGTGGGCAGTTAACCTCATGCGAGCTTGAGGCTTCTGTCTACTGCAAAGGCATGTGTGGAGTAATAAGGCTTCCAGGCTTTGACGAAACTTATGAAATTACAGACGAATTTGTATTCTTCCCCCTCTGGTATTCTAGTCAAAACACTAATCCCCCATACAGCTCTTATTATAAAAAATCTGTTAAAACCTTTGAAATCTTCACATAGATCAATGTGCTGCACTGCACTCAGGTCCCGCCAAAACATTCACGCCATGCTACGGCGGTCGCACGGACACCAAACCAACTTTTTCTCGTCGAGACCAATATCCTGGTGCATCACTAAAGGTTTCCGTCTACGACCATTTCCTTCTAGACACCGAGTGGACGTTCCCTGGACGTTCCCACCACCCGATTCGATACTCTATACCCAAATTTTTCTGCAACTCGACGGCTATTTTATTAGGTTTTGCTTTAATTCTTCAGGCTAGCAGTACCTAACAGGCTCAATCAAATTAGCAGCAGCTTGCGGGACGAATGTGACGAGCCATCATTCAAAATGTGGAGATAAATACGTGACGAATGAAACCTGCAGAATTTCCCAGACCATGCCTGCAGGAAGGAAAATCTGTCCCAGATTCTTCCAAACGTACACTGGTGAAATGATGTACATTAACTCCTGTAAATAACGCACTTTCTTTGTTCTTTGAAAGCTGGAGATTTCTATGATTTTAGCCCAGATTAACCACAACGGAGAAGAAGACGCTTGCATAATCCCCTTTACCAAAATAGTCCATTCCAGAATGCACAATGACGCTCTTAACTGAGGTAGTTGTTGATGCGCGACACGCCTAGGTAAGTTGGTGGCAGTTTGAGTGGGATTGGTTCAACCAAGTTTTCCTTATCTCATTTAAACCAGTCTGCGGTGGAGAGCCGCAAACCACTCCAAATCAGTTTACTATTCATTTAGAATAAGCGACAGCTCTAAACTCAATTTTCAATCCTTGACCATCCGGCTTCAACGTTGCCCTTTGGCCCTGAGCAGTTGAAAATTGTTGCGGTTATTCTCCACTAAGGTACGATAGGAAAAATCTCTCATTCTACACTCAGAAAAATTATCTCCGTTGTAACGTGTTGGCTGGCTTCGTTATTTTCATTTCAGACCAACTCTTTACCCTTCATGTTAAGTCGGTTTTCCTCTATACTGCTAATGGATCGATGGTTGCTCGAGAAGCTTTGTTGTTTTGGATGAAATTCCGTCAATTCGATAAAGCCAATCTCGGCTTTTAGGGTAGACTGACATTTATTCCCGCATCCGCTTTATTATGACGCCATTTTGTAGTATCCGCGAGGATCTGTTCTTTCAGGTGTAACAAAACCCATACTGTCCTGATGGTTTTAAATGCGCGCCTAAGATATTTCTATCTATTTCTTTCTTTTCCACGTAGATTCCCATTCCCTGGACCTCGATATGAAGAAGGAACGCGTGATTTTCATTGATGACAGCCCTTTTTCTGTTGACCTGTTTTGCCAGGCTGACGCTCGTCGGTTCTGACTTGTACACACATCCGTTTCGCTTGTTGCCCGTTCGTGGGGACGCCGCCCCTTCCGTGCTTTGGAATATATGTTCGTATTCCGTCAGTGTTGTTCTTAGTTGTGTGTTTGGATCGCGTGCCGGTTGACTGAACATCTCCCGTTTCCGTGCATCCCTCGTCGTGTGTGTGTTCGCTAACCTCCGCCCATTTACGTCCCGGTTCAGCTCCACGCGGTTTCCCGTCGACTGTGCGATTTTGACCCATTACAACTGGTGGAAATGAACCATCAAGAAAACGCCTCTCTGTCCAAGCAGCAACTAATGATAGTGACTGGAGTAAAAATGGAATCCCGATTGCCCAAACTTCCTACCCCACCGAGATTTTCCCCCGAGGAAGACTTCATGCTCTGATCCTTCCGTGCTCGACCATTCCTGGACTCGGTTCCCACGGACCGATTCGGCGTTTTCCTGGTGTCTCTACTTGATGAAGTAACCCTCCGTCAGGTGCCGGCCTCTGGTACTTTGTTAACATCCCGCCCCAAGGTCCTGTGGTCCCTGTTGGAGGAGCTTTCCGGATGTGTTCAGCTGGCCCCCATGACTCTCGAAAAATTCTGGGAAAGGAAACAGCTGCAGGGAGATACGGTCGACCAGTATGTTGCCGTATTGCGTGAAATCGCAGCAAAAGTCTTCCCGAATGAATCACCTGCCGACCGAAACAGCCGGATCCTAAAACGGTTTCCGCTCGACCTAAACAACGACCATTTGAAAGGGAAATTCGTACGTAAGCCCTAAATGACGTTAGCGGAGTCTTTGACAACCGCCAGATCGTATGAAGCTCTTTGGCCTATCCTGCCTTCTTTACCGGTGAACGTAGCCGTGATCAGCAGTTCCCAAAGACGCCCCGATTTACCCGCGCACTTCTTCGGTTTTCCTGGGCCACAATCAAGATGCCACTACTGCTAGAGGATTGGTCGTCACGCGCAGCACTGCGGACACAACCCTCCTATACAGAGGGTCGGTGAGTCCCTTCCAGTTAAATTGTCACTTGGTTCTCTGTCGTTAAATGAGACGTCTTGTTTCCCATTGTTAACCGTTTTTGGTCTGCTCAACGGCAGGAGTGCAAGGTTCGGCGCATCGTGTTCGGTTATAGAGAAAACAGTCCCAATGTCACCCGACGTACGCCAGTGTCCAGCACCTAGCTTAACTTCCTCAGACGCGAAACCAGTGGCTGAGTTTGGTCGCACGGGAGCTACCGTTAGATTAAGCGCTTTCGTCGCATCACATACTTTTGTATGCGCTGATATTGCAGCTGACGTAATATTAGGAATGGACTTTTTAGAACGGTATCAAGCCAACATCGACTTTGTTCGTCACGTTATGTGGCTCAACGGCTGTCGTATCCAACTTAGCCAATCAGTTTCCGCACTGATCAATGATACAACATGGACAGATGCTATGTTAACCGGTTGTGACGCTGAATCCAAGGACAAGCAACAGATCATTTCGATTGTTGCCGAGTTTCGAGAGCTATTAGATCATTGTTCGCCAACGTTGGGTCGCACACGAACACTACAACATCGGATAGACACGGGGAACCATCGCCCTCTGTTTTGGCCACCCAGAAGAATCCCAATACATTACCAGGCCGAGCTTGATAAACTAACTCACGAGGTGCTAGAGAAAGGAGTTATACGCCTTTCGACGTCACAGTGGGCATCACCAGTCGTATTGGTAAAGAAAAATGACGGGACACTCATGATGTATGGATTGTCGCCGTCTTAACTCGATCACTAGGCGCGACTCCTTTCCCCTACCTCGAATTGACGACACGTTAGACGCCGTCGCGGGTGCCAAATGGTTTTCCACTCTAGACCTCGCGTCCGGATACTGGCAAGTAGAAGTACATCCCACGGACAGGTGTAAAACAGCCTTCGTAGTCCCTTCAGGCCTTTATGAATTCGAAACCATGCCGTTCGGGTTAGCCAACGCTCCTGCCACCTTCCAACGTTTGATGCATACTGTTTTAAGGGACATTGTCCCACAATGTTGTTTAATATACCTGGATGATATTATCATACATGGAACCACGGTTCAAGAACACAATACCCGGCTGAAACAAGTGTTGGATCGACTGCGAGAAGCTGGGTTAACGTTGAAAAGATCAAAGTGCTGACTGTTACAACATCAGGTAAAATTTTTGGGACAAATCCTGTCAAACTGAAGCATGCATGCGGACCCAAAAAAGATTAACACGATTGGCAACTGGCCACAACCAAAAAAAGCAGCTGACGTATGCAATTTTATGGGACCGGCTTCTTATTACAGGAGATTTGTCAGAGTTCGCGAAAATTGCCGGGCATCTACACAAACTAACCGAAAAAACCGCACTTTTGCCTGGACTAGTGAATGTGAATCTGCTTTCAACCAATTGAAAACTGCATTGACAACCCCGCCTATCTTAAGCCTTCCAGATACTTCAAAGGCGGCAGGAAGTTTCATCCTGGATACCGATGCCAGTGACGTCGCAATTGGCGCAATGTTTTTGCAGTTATTTCCATGTGGACAGGAATGAGTTATAGCTTACGGAAGCAAAACCCTCGACAAAAGTGAGAGGCGGTACAGTGCCACGCGCCGTGAGATGTTATCCCTTGCGTACTTCGTTCAATATTTCCAACC